GCTGGTCTTTCCCTCTGCAGTGGTGGTGCCCCTTGGGGCTGCCCAGGCAGGCTGCTAGTGGGCCGAGTGCTGCCCCAGCTTGGAGGCAGCACCTGGCCTGCTAGCAGCCTGCTTGGGCAGAACTGAGGACACTACCACCGTGGAGGGAAGGACTTGGGCCCCCCGCAGCTCAGGGTCCACTGGCAGCTCACCCCCACAACTGCAGGCAGGCTCTGCTGAAAAAAATAAAGCACTGAAGCCCCTAAATGGAAATGGTGGGTTTTTAATTTTTACAATGAAAAATCCACCAATTAAAAACCCACTGTTTCAATTTAGGGAACTAAACCCCTGTCACGTGTACAAGTGGCCAGAGAGGCTGCAATATTCTCACGCTCCACAGTGATAAAATGGCAGAGCTGATATTAGAACATCCCAGATCCTGAAGCCTGGCCCAGGACCAAATCACTAATGCATGCTGCCTCCAAGATAATGCTGCTGTGTGGTTGCAAAAGAAAAACAGAAAGCTATATTGGTTTCTGGTTCATGGAACAGGGTTGAGACATTATGGGCTTGAAGTGGGAATTGCTAGGTGATGTTATATGGCCTCTGTTACAGAAACCAACATAATATTGATCCCTTCCGACCTGGAAAATCTAAGGGTGACTATACATGTGCTCCAGGGTGGAGGTGAGGGGAAGGTTTAAAGCGCCCATGGCACCATGTGTATTCACTGTCCTGCGCTTCAAAATGACGGCTGGGGCGCTTTAACTAAAGCTCATCAAACGAACTTTAGTTAAAGCATCCCCACTGCCATTTTGAAATGTGGGGACGCTGAATACATGTGACACAGAGGCTGCTGGAACATGTTAATTAACACACTCCAGCAGACTCACAACAGACTCGATCGAGTCTGCTCTGATGCGTGTTAATTAACACGTCAGAGCAGAGGTCTGTCATGTGTATAGGTGCCCTTAGTCAATAAGAATTTTTCCTAAGCCTAGATCAGAGTTCAGCATATAGGTAGAAAGGTGCCTGCTCTGAAGAACTTAGGCTTTGAACCTTGTGAAATCTGATTCTGAACCCCCCTGGGAGTTCAGAGGGCTACTGTAGTGAAAACAATGCGGTATCTGCTCTTAAATCCAGTCTCCAAGCTATAGAATGTTTTTCCAAAAAAGGACTAGAACTGTACAGTTGGAAAAGAACAGCCTAAAAGGAGACAACAGAAGCATATGAAACAATATAGAAATGATGAACGAGAGAGAGAGAAAATTAGCTGGATGTGATCGCTGGCAACCAGTTTCAAAAGGTTAATAGAAAGAATTTGCAATGTGCTGTGCAATGAATACAATGTCTTCAACCCTTTGAGGAAATGTTGGCAAAATAAGGGTTGGATCCCACCTTTCCTTGCATCAAGGACAGTTTTCATTCCTGTTCTCTACAACTTAAAAGTGATGGTGGGGGGGACCACATGCTGAAGTAGTCACGGGCCCAGGGCTGCACGCTTTGGGGGCTACAAGCCCTGCCTTCCCCTGCTGGAGTAGCATGAGCCCCCCTGTTGCTGTATGGGCAACATGAGCCCACCAAGTCCACACTGCATGAGTCCCCTTGCTGTTGCCACCAGTTGGGGCGAGTTTGTCCCTCCCCTACCCACCACTGTTGCTGAATCAGCCTACTCCCACAGTTGGGTAGCCCAAGCCTCCCTGTTCCTGCCTGGGCAACAAATTTCCTGGGCCCCTCTGGCTAAGCTGCTCTGCTCCAAAGATGCTGACTGCTGCCACAGAAGCAGGAACAGGCCAGACAGAAGCCCACATGCTGCACATTAACCCCTCATGGGCCACCAGTTGCACAGCCTTACTCTAGATGCTGAGTAAATTCCTAACAATATAAAGAAAAGAGCTGCTAGAGGAGCTTAAAGTTGATCTTGGGCTCTTCAGTTTAAAATGTTTAAATTGGTTCGTTGCAGCTCGTATTTGCGGAGCCCATCTCTCTTCAGGACCAGAGCTTAAGAACATGAATGACTCACACTAAATCCAAGAAGGAACCATAAACCTGTAGACGGTGATGATAGTCATATCAACCACAAATATGGCCTGTGACAATACTTGCAGTATGAGATGCACTTAAACATTTTTTATTACTTTACTTCTACAAAGCAGACAACCTCAAGCATCAATGCTGAAGAGGCAATTTCTTGCCACTGTGGGCAGGAAAGAAAGGTTTAAAAAAACCAAATATCTTTCCAAGGATGTATCCTTCAGCCATACTGAGGTCTAGGCATCTCTCAAGGGTGAAGTCGTTTCTGGCTAAAATATGGCCAACGCAATTTACCTGTTTGCGGAATTTCATCCAGGTGCAGGTTATGGGGGCAGTTCCTACGACTTTGCAGAACAGTTCCACGGATTCCCCAGCACGGACTTTCCTGTCTTCTGGGAACTGAGTGATCTGGGGGGGAAGAACTGATAAAAAGAACCCTCTATTTAGAGACCTACACTTTCTATCTTTGCTAACAGCTGAGCACAAGCATCTCTCAACAGAATTTAGTCCCATTTGATTAAATCACAAAATGATATGTATCCATGACTTGCAATGTATTGGTTCTCTGGCCCCAGGAAGAAGGCAGAACTGAACGCACGGCACTTCTGTCATATGGAATGATGCTGACTTCCACCTTGGGCGTGCGTATGGTTCACACCTGCCTTTGCCACTTGAGCCGAAAGAGCAGCTGGCAGCAACAGTACGCTGTTGCCCTCTGTGTGGAAGAGCTACATGAGAGCAGAGGCACACAGTGCCAGTGGGCAATCTTAGCTATTTGTTGAAGCAGAGGAATGGAGGGACCTGGGACTGCTGGATTTGGAGGGATGTTTGTGTTAGTGGTTACAAATTCTCCTTCTGTCATACTTTAGCTCTTGCCCATCCTTCCTCTGCTCCAATCCACATCTTTGGCTCATTCAACCCATTTTCCACCTTCTCATTCCACTGCATGTAGATTAAATACTTTTTTCTTTGTATCCTTGTCTGGGCATCACAGAGCAGGGACAAAGAGCACGTGGAAAGCCAGTCTGCTAGCTCCCTGGGGAGATGATGTGTCAGCAACCCCTGGCAGGAGAGGGAGGCAGCTGCAAGGGAAATGCTTCCCATTGCTTGCAGCTCCAGGGTGGGACACATCCATCTGCTCTGTGGGGATGGTGCACGTGCACCCTGATTGGCATGTGGGAGCTATGAGGGAATGGGGAATGCCATTCAGAGAATTTAGCTGCCAACCTAACCTGTCTCTCCTGAGCATATGCAAACAGAGACTCTTCAGAGGTTTTTCTCTTTGCCAAATTTAGGCATTTTTTTCAGGGACAGCAGAAGGCACAAGCTAGGCACTGGATCACTTTCCCTCCCCCTCCTCCCCCAACAACTTTTGAGCCCCTGCTCCAAAGCATAAAGGCATTAAAATTAGGCTGCCAGATTTTTTTTTTAACAAGGGCAAAACAGCTCAGTGTTTCCATCACCTCTTTCTGGGAAATGGCTAAGCATTTTTTGGCTAAAACTTTTCAGACTGCTGTCTGGGGCAGACAGCTGACACCAGTCTGATTAGTTAAAAGATGGCAAAATTATAAGCAACTGAAAGCAAGTGCCTTTAAAAAAAAGAGGTCAGGCCTCTGAGGTCAGGCACCGTAAGTGGTGCCTCTTCTATAAATCTTGCCTCAATATAGCCTTATAAAAGAGCAAAGTAAGGGAACTTAGTATTCAATCCCCCCAAAATGCAAGGTAACAATTGCAGTGAGAAAGATGTTACCTTCTCTTGGAAATCTTATCGCTTTATTGTCTAGTCTTGCAGAATAACATAATGCAACCATTTACCTGCCTTCGGGGGGGTCTTTGGAGCTGGTTTCTTCTTTACTGTTGCTTCACCTAAGGAAAAAAGAAATTAAACCATTCATGAGAAAATGCATTTTGAGAGGCACTAGTTTAATTACAAAAATATTCCCATTCCTGGCAGAATTGTGTCAATTAGCTCACTCCACAAGGAGATCTACTTCCTACTAGTAGTGGGCAAAAACAAAAACTTTAAATACTGTCAGGGATCCTGGCTTTACCCTCAGGATACTCAGATTGACAAATGGACATTTCAAAAGCCTCAGGAAGTACCCACTTTCCTGTGTGATCTGTGCCTATATTAACCATTGAGTACCCACCATACTCAGCCCATTGAAGTGAGGCTGCCACATCGCATTAAACTACTACAATCCATAACAAGATGATTTTCACCATAATGTTTTAATGTTAAAAAAGGCAGAATGATTTAGGAGACACCCCGGTTAAAACCAGGTAATCCATTTTGTATTTTTTTATCAAGCAACTCCAGAGCCAGCACAGATATTAGCATATGTGGGAACTGAGTGTTATACTCCACATTTATGAATGGGGAGAGAACTTGCCAATTCCAAATAATACGATTTAAAAAAAAAATATGGGCCTTCATTTGAAACCTAAGCATGCTTTAATACAGGTACCTATATCCATGTGTAGGCCACACAACAGAAGTGTGGATAGGCTTGATTTTTAAAGATGCTGGGGACCTACAGCTCCAGTTGACTTCAACTCAAGTTAGGTGTGCTTAACACCTTCAGATACCAAACTAGATCCACTTTGGTGCCTAAGCACAGCTATGACAGCCCAACCTTGTTTGAATGATCTAGTCCAGAGGTGTCAAATTCACTTTGTACCCTGGGCTAGATATGGACCACAAGGCTGGACATGGCCCAGTGCTGGTAGCCACGGTAGTGGCCACTGCAACGGGGGTGGAGAAAACAGCCACAAGCTTGGCAGGTGCTTGTCCTGGCAGAGGTGCACAAGTGGCAGCGGGGCCAAGAAGTTGCAGGGCAACTGAGGACTGTATTGTATGGCCCTTGTTCACCCCCCTGCTACTGATAGCCATGTCCTGGAGCCTGTGGCAGGCCCCTCCCCCAATTCCCCAGGCCCACTGGCTCCAAGGCCAGCATCCAGTTCATAAGCTGTATGTTTGACATCCCCATTATTTCTTAAAAATGTAGCTGGTTATACAATAGCTGGCACATTACACTAAAAAAAAAAAAAAAAAATAGCTCTTGTTTCCTTTTAACCCTCCCCTTTAAGGAGATATTTAACATTCTGGACTCTTAAAAATTTGGCATCAGCATTTTCTTCTTGAAGCACTGGAGGATATAACAAGAACTGCTGTACTTCCACTGTTCCAAGCTTTGAAATCAGTCATGTAGACAGCAAACAAAGTATGAGTATTTTACATTACTTGCATGAGTTAACAATGGAAAGCACTGGCCAATGCATGCTACATGTCTCCTGCCTGTGCTTGGTCCACACAAGGTCTCAGGCTGCTGCAGAACATAACTGCAGGCCTATCTCTAGTTCAAAGCTGTAGAGACTCAATGCTTTTAATTTTGGAGGTCCCCAGTTGCAAGAGGTGGCAGCTGCCGTGCTATCTCTGCCTTGGATTGTTAACACAGAAAAAGCCTTGTAAATACATTTTACCTTTCAGCAACATATTCTTTTCTCTGTGGTCTTTTTTTGGAACCGTTTGCTAATGTAATTTGGACAATGTAATCAGTCTGTATCACTTTCTATAAACAGCTTTGCTTTATGGCATTTCCCCTGAAACCTGTTTTTAGTTTTCACGTGTTCTACATTTACAGGTTTTGGTTGGAACAAGTAGTACCATGCTACAGAGAAAGGCTGTTCTCACAGCGCTTACATCTGAGTCAAAAACAGGAAGCACTTGATCCCTCTCAAGAAACCCTGTTCCTTAGAGATTGCCAGCCCAATTTAGCTTGCTTGAAGCCTGGTCTGATATCCAAATTTTAAGGTGGTTATTCTAGCGTTACTGAAGCATAACAGCATTCACTCCTTCTCACGAGACCTCGTCCTATTCAAAAGACACTTCCAGAAAATTAAGTTTGTTGCTTTTTTGAGTCAGCTGCCAACTTATCTGTTGGCTCTATTACATCTTCAAGACTTTAATAATGACTGTTTACTTATGTAAAGTATATATACTTCCAGCTTGGTTCTTTCCCCCATAACTTCATGGAAGAAAAAAAAAGCGATGCCTTAAATGTAGTACTGAGGACTCCTTATTCTAAGCATGTTGTTGGCCTGTTTTACTATCTGAACACATGCTGAACGTCCTTCATTGGATGAGAAGCCCCAGTGACCTCAATAAAACTACTTAGGTGAGTAGGTGCCAGCGACTGAAGGCCATGGACTGTGACCCATTTTTTGGGGTTTTTTTGTTGTTCTCCCGCCCTGGCAGGGGGTCGGGCTAGAAGATCTACTAGGTCCCTTCCGACCCTTAATCTATGAATCTATGACCCCCTGATTGTACTGGGAATCCTCCAAGTTGGGTTTCATCTAACTATCACTGAAGTCAATGCAAGATCTGGAATGACTTTAGTAAGAGGGGAAGCCCTGTGTTATTTTTTTAGCATGGCTCTGTTATTGTACTATGCCATGAATACTGACCTGATTACACCCTCATCATATATATTTGATATGTGCGTTTGTGCATATTGCCTTATTTTACTGTACTGCTCATCAGTTTCCTCGTCCCTGCTGTGAGAACGTTAGCTGTCCTCAGAGTAATAAGGTCTTTAAAAACAGCACCTATGATCTAACTGCCTATGTACCAAAATAGGCCTAACTTGAAAGACATCAAGGAATATGTGCCATTTGCTAAATACTCATGCTTCACTGAAGGTCCAATTGCCATTTTTCAGAAACTTCAGTACAGGGCAGAAACCACCAAGACAAAATGTTTCGATCCTACATGGTTTACAAGAAGCTCTCTCTGATACAAGTAATCTGTTCACAACACAAATTATATACCTGTTGTAATAACCAAGCTAACAGGCAGGGTGGTGAATGAAGTCCCATCTCTCTCTGAAGTCTCTTGCTTTTTCCAAGATTCAGTCCAACTCTGTATCTCTCAAGATCTTTTTCCCCTTCTTGGTTGCCTATTTTATTCTCTTTCTTTACATATGATCCTAATTTCAAGGACACACACACACACCTTCCCATCTACCCATGTATATACACACAGATCTATCTCTTCTCTCTGCCTATCTGCTATCAGCCACTCCTTGCCCATAAAAAGGATACCAGATCACTTCATCCTGCATTATTTACTCTTTCACAGTTAAATTCAGTGACATGCACTTCATCAGTGGCCATGCACAGTACTTATACAAAGATGAGGATGCACAACGAACTATCTTGTTCTATATTTATGCTGCAAGTGAAACAAATGGACAGATCTTATCCCTGGGAAAACTGAGAGCCAGTTTAAAAGACTCTTGCATCAGGGAGGATTTCCATACCAGCTGAGCAAAGCACATAAACCTATCACCTCACTCAGCTGGGGACACTGTAGTTCATATAAAGATCCAGGATTTTTTCAGGACATTATACATACTCAACAGACTGTCCCTGCACTTCATCAAAAGGATTCAGACTAAGAAAGGGATGCTGGGAGATCTGATATAGTACCCTGATCTTATTTTGCAGGCATAAGCAGACTTGGGCAGGAAACAAAAGCTGCTCAAGAGCCTCACATTTTTTTGAGGCTGGGGCACCTGGAAGAGGAATGTGTGAGAGCACAGGCATGTGTAGGCATAGAGCCTCTTCCTGCTTTCATTAACAAAATCTGCTCCATTGTTCTTAAACCTTGCCCTAAAAATTCCCGCTTATCTCATGTGTCTTCTGCAAACAGCAAAACCAAATTTCTTTTAATAGCTCTGGAGGCAGTTACCAAAAAAAAATCCAGCAAGATTAACCAAGATGACAAGGTCAAATGATTGTTTTCATTAAAATATTTGAGGCTCTTGGAACTGTTAGTTCAAGGCTGCTTCTGCTGTTTAAAAAAAGACAATGTCTCTCTCCTGCTATTTACATTGAGATGGGATGAAGCTGAACACCAGCCTGGTGGAGGAAAAAGGACATAATATTCTCTCCCTAAATGAGCTGGCCTCCTAGAAACTACATAACGTAAATAGTGCCAGGCTGGTATTTACATAACTGTATAGACAGGTTTGTCTGTTAGGGAGCTTGAGTCAGGGGAGGATATACACTGAAAGGGAAAGCCAGATTCCTTTGCCAGCTGCTATCTTATGGAACATTTGGTTGTGTTGTTTCCCTGGCCCCGACGCTGAATTCATGGGAGCAGAGATGCTCAGAAGCCTCTGCCTTTCTTTGGTGTTTCCCTTTTTTGGAATTTTACTAAAAATAGTCATAGCCCTCCCTCTCCTGGAAATGGCTCCTGCACAGTTTGCTTCATAAAAGCATCCAGTAGAAAACTAATAGAATTGCAACAGGGATACTCGATCATTTGAGTGAAGCCAGAATTTTTCACTGAGCCCTGCAATTCAACAAGATATCCCTATTCCAGGTAGCACCTCCCATGAGTCCTAACCCCTCTGGCTGCAATAGGATTGAAGCACATGCCTAAAGTGAAGTATGCTGGGAAAGCACTGGGCAAAGATCTCACTCAGCAGGTCCTCGGCATGCAGCAGAGCCTGTCTCCATGGAGGTTTCTTCTGTCTCACCGTAGACTGAAAAAGGAGCAGGCGAATCTGTGGCTGTTGAACCTACTAGCAAATACCACCTACTCATGCAGGGAGACCCTGTAGAAAGAGGAACCAACCAGCTGAATAAGGATGAGCATTGTGCTTGGAGACTGTAGTAACTATCCTGCTCCTACGAAACCAGAAATTGGATGTCCTCATCTTGCATGAATGCCGTACCCACCAAGGGGAGGAAATCTCTCTCCTGCTGGGGCTGTTCAAATGAGAGTGACAAAAATTATTAGAGGCTTGGGAAGAGAGACTTATAAGGGAAAGCTGAAAAAATAAGGGCTATTTAGAAGG